TTTAGTGATAGCGAAGGTAGTCCCTCAAAAGTACAAAACCCTAGTCAGATGAATCGAAATGAGAACAATTTGATTTGATGGTATTAGGAATCACCTTTTTTCAGGCTCTAAAGTGAAGTCCTAATACTATCCTGAAGCATCATGTGAAAACATTAGTTGATTTCTCACAGAGTACCACAAATAACCCAAATTCTCAGTGAAAGTAGAGGTTTGTGATAACTGAACCGAAAGACACTCTACTCCTTTGTTCGATATAGTGAAGTTTAACGTTTTGTAATATATATTTAATGATACATAACAAATTAAATTTATATAAGCCCAATGTTTGAATTAAGCAATAAAAAATTAACACAACAAAATAACATGAATTCATAACATTTCGCGGTTTTGCATATAAGCTGCTCACAACTTAAACATAATTCTAGTATATTGGGGCACAGTCTTGGAGGTTTGCGTTTTTACACATCTGAAATCATCAATCAATCATCATTGTTAGACCACCATTAGAAACCTGGAAGCACTGGACGGCCGTTTCGTCCTAGTATGGGACACCGTTGGATGCCGGCCCAGCGGTCCAATGGTAAGGCGTTCGCCTACAATGCCAAAGGTCCCGGGTTCGAATCCTGCGAGGAGCAGGAGTCGTGGATGCGCACTGCTGAGGAGTCCCATACTAGGACGAAACGGCCGTCCAGTGCTTCCAGGTTTCTAATGGTGGTCTAACAATGATGATTGATTAATGATTTCAGATGTATAATTCTAGTAATCATAAAAAATCAGCTTACATGCATTATTTCATAATATTGGAAAATTTCACGTCAGTGAAGATTGATAAAAAAAGAGCAACAAATATGAAAGAAGGTATTTATATGCTAAATAATGTGAATATTCACATGTTGAATATAAAAACGTTGTTGTACAGAAACTAGCCACATAGAAACAGATTTATTTAGAAATAAGTTATTATAGTTATGTAACCTTTAAAACAGAATTGACTGACAGTACAGATAAGATAAGGAGTGCAGATATTTATTAATCAGGTCAACAAGACAGAGCAAGAATGATAACTGAATCTTTTGGAATGCAATAATTTAGTTTATATCTTAATGTAGGTAATTTGTCAACAAATGACTATCATAATGAGCAATTCGGGTAATACGGAGAAATCCGTTTGGTGGCTAGTTAAGTCCTTTTCATCAATGTTTTAAACTGAAATTAATCTCTCTTGTTATTTCATCACTTTTAAAGCCAAGTTTTAAGAAGACAGCATTCTTATCACGTAAACAATGTTCAACTGTGGTTAATTCCGGATCAATTCTATCCTCTGACACGATTGAAAAGCGTTTCAAACTAAGGCTGTTTGACAGCTTATTGGAGAGAAGATTTAAAGTTAATGTATAATCTACCTCATATGTCCTTTTGATAAATACATCTTTCCAATCGACCATTTGTACTACGCTTCATAACAAGGCCTAGAAAATTAAACACATTGTCGTGTTCATGTTTCAGTGTGCATCTAATATTTACATGTGCCGTATTAAGAGGTTACGGTATATGAGAAGCACGTTGATAATTATCACAGGCCAAAATTGTATCATTAGCATACCTAACGTACAGCGTTGTATCGTCGATTACTAATATTTTATCTGTTTGTTCTAGGTTTCACATAAACATATACGCCAGTATTGGACCCAATAGGCTACCCACGGCCACTCCATCCTTTTGACAATATTAGACACTATAGAAGTGAAATTAAATGTCTTTAGTGCACATTAGCAGAAGTTGCTTGAGTTCATCTTTAAGTAGACGGAGTAGGTCAGCATGCTGACATATTATTTGTATGGTTTCTTCTAATGGGATTATGATAAATAGTGATGATCATCAAAAGAAACCATGAATTTATCAAAAATGTCAACTTTTTTTAGCATTCGAGCAAATTGAAATGTGTCTTTGAAACTGTGCATCGATAACTTTGAACGGATCGGTTATAACTTACCAACTAACAAGAAAATAACGAATTAATCATTGATCGGTTGTAAGTAGATTATGAGGAACCACAAAATATCTAATGAATTCATGTTATTCTGCCAAATTAATTATTCTTGCTATTATCAAATTTATCAATGGAGAAAATTTTTTGTAAATTTAATGTTGGTCGCTGCATAAATATGCTGTTTAGGCTTTGTGTTCATGCTCCCAGTTGCATAAGATCATCGATAATGAGAGAAATTCTTTTTCTTCAATCCCCAAAACGGTCAACCGTTTCACTGTGATTGACTGATCTGTGACAATCACCCAAGCGTTAAAAGACCAAAAAAATAGATGGAAACCATATTGAGAATTTAGTGCTTTCTTTGTTAACAACTTTAAAATCAAACATTCATCTTAGCTTATCAAAACAATATTCTAGAGAATCACTGAAATTAGATCTAATTTCCTCAATAAATGCAAAGCAAACAAATGAAGAAATTAGAATTCCATAATAGCATTCAAGCATAAAATTTCATTGAACTGACGAAATAGAAAACCAATAAATGGTTTTTAATAGAAAGAACTGGGTTCTGTTATAAAATATGACATTTCATGTTTATATGTTTATTATCAGCACAGAATTTCATCGAAATCATGAAGTGATTATGTTAAACCACCATTCGAGACCTAGAAGCAGTAGACTGCCGTGTCGTCCTAGTATAATGCGCATCTACGACCTGCAAGATGAAATCAAATCCAGAAACTTGGGTCTCTCGTGTGAATGCAGTTTATATCTGCTTGCAAGAAGTTTAGGAACACTAATGATAGACTGACGTTCATTATCTTATTTTTAATAATATTTATTATCAATTTGTATTATTTTAATTGATTAAAATCTTTAATCTATTCCGTGACAAATTTATCATTTTCTATAAAAATGTAGGTTGTTAATTAAGTTCTTTTTCCTTGAAAATTACTAAGAATAACTGAGACAGTCCATATGACTTAATTCAGACTTTCGAGGATGTTTATTCAGTATGGAGATGAATTTTATTATGTTGTAGAATTGACTAGAGAAGAACTGGATACCAAGAAAAGCTAGACACCCACGTAATCTGTCTTAATTTTAAACAAAATTTCTTAAGATTGTATTTTTGACTAAAAAACAACAAGATATATTTCTCATATCATTTAAAACAACTCAACTATGATTCCAGTAATGATTTTTACTTTTGGGGCAGAGCTTTTGGAGGTTTGTGTTTTTACACATTTGAAATCATCAATCAATCATTGTTAGACCACCATTAGAAACCTGGAAGCACTGGACGTAACAGTGCTCACTAGTGACTAGCTTCGTGAGGAAATTCTCGGAGTTCTAGTTGAGAAGACGTGACCAATGGAGTTCAACCCTGTCGGGTGTAGGCAGTAACTACCAAAGACAAATGGGTGAGGTCGCACAAAATCCGTAGATCAATCAGAGTTAGACATTAACACCATTGGATGCCGGCCCAGTGGTCCAATAGTTATGCGTTTGCGCACATTACCGAAGGTCCTGGGTTCGAATCCTGCGAGATGCAGGAGTCGTGGGTGCGCACTGCTGATGAGTCCCATACCAGGACGAAACGGCTGTCCAGTGCTTCCAGGTTTCTAATGGTGGTCTAACAATGATTGATTGATGATTTTGAATTGATCTTTACATTCGGACGTCAGCCCAATCAGTGATCATTAACATAGAAACTGGTATGAATGTGTTACTGGCCAAAATTCCCACACCTCACATCAGCACAGCGAAAGAGGAAAGTAACAAGATTAGGAGCAAATGAGAAGATAAAACACCAACTATATTTTGAATCCACTATTCAAGTTAATAACGTTTTCTGTAATATACATTTAAAATGAGAAATTTTATATTTACTCAAGCACATAAACATTGATTCAAAGGGGCGCCCAAATATATATACACAACACACATCTGAGTCTTCGACCATAAGTCCAATCCACTAGGCAGCGGAGCAACGTATGAAGATGCAGTCGCCTGGTAGCTGGTGACCAACAACAGGTACATACACCATCCATTCCGTCAGGATCCTGCAGCCCATGTGAAATATTTGTTTGGGATCAGGGTTTTCCAACTTCTCTAGGTGAGTCCTCCACACCCGCCGATTCGATTAGATCACTGAACAGTCGCCCTTCGTCCTCTCAATTTTGTAAACACCCGGAGCTATGAGAAGGCGATGAGTAGGACTTCCCTGACGGCGGCTATTTAACATGGTCAAACGAGAGCATTTTGAGAGGGAAAGTGGACTCTCCACTCTCGGTGGTACCACGGCATGTGGGGACATACAAAAGAAATGACATTTTTTCAGGAAGGAAATTATACATATGCACAACCACTAATTAATTTTATTCAACTAGTTATATATAGTTATATTGCTCATTTGTAAGTCAAGATAGAATAAAAACCAATCAAATTCATACACTATTCTTTATACACACATAAATATCTCTTATATACAATAAAAAGAAAACTAATAGACAAATCGAATAAAACTAAAAAAAATTGACAAAAACAATCATAATATAATTAGAATACTATTTCTACAATTACACAACACGAGATCATGTTCACAGAAAAAGAAAAATTTATTTTCTCCTCCGTATTGAACAAGTAAGTAGATTGTTTTATTTTCTTTGAAAAGATAAAAACACCTGTAGAAAAAAAAGTAAGAGCATGATAGTAATAATTAGGGTTTGGCTAAATCCACTGATTGAAGATATTTACAACACATTTTTGTGTATATGTTTATGTAATATAATCAAAGATGTGCAGAGTGTGTGTGTGTGTACGTGTAAGAGAGGGGAAGAGAGAAAGAGAGAGAGAAAACACTGCAATACTACTAAATACAGTCAACTGGATGATAATTTTTAAACAATATTTATTCATCTAACTGAAAGTATAACAAGATGAATTTAGTTGTAATTTTTCTAAATATAACCCGAAAATAGTGCTACATACATGAATAAGTTTGATATCATTCTGAAGAAAAAGAAGTAACAGTTGGAGGAGTTGATAATGATGAAGACAAAGAAGTAAATGAATGAGATTTATTACAGTTTAATTCAAAACACGATAAGCTACGATTTGATTGAAGTAGATGATGATGATGACTATTTAATGAGGATCGTGTTTTCTTTACATGACCACTAGTTTTACATAAAACATCACAAGTTAATGTTGGTGATGATTTATCTTCAATAACTAATCCTAGAATGACAGTTATATCACCAGGAACTCCACCTGTAAAAAAATGATAAGTGCAATAGTAGATGAGTGGTAATATAAATTTAAACTATAAAATAAATGATAATAAATTTAATGAAGATACTTGATTGTCTTGGAATCACTTGATAGTTGATACTCTTTGACATATTTCATAAATAGTTGCTTACGATACATATATAAGTACTGGGTCTTAAAGAGTTCAGTCAATAGATTTGTACGTTTGCAGTGCGAAGAATTTATAATCTCAGTCAATCAGTAGTAAGCAACATAGAACCTAGTACATGTGTATTGGCTTAAAAACGAACTACTGCGTCACGTACCCGACCTTTGGTTGATGCATGGACATCTCTCACAGGTGATACGGGTTGGCAAAACCCAACCGAACTTTCTGAGTGCGAGTTGGGGAATTCTAATCTAGGATGAGATAGGTGTTTTTGATGCCTTCTGTTTGTCATTGGCCATTTGTCAATCAACTTATGACGTAAGCTACTTTAAAATTTAACCAATCTCTACAATTAACCAATTAAACAAAAATGATAAGGTTTAGAAGACAGTCATACCATACTGCTTTTATTTCAGGTACGTAGAAAACCTTATACTTAATTTTCTTAGTGATGATAGATTGCCGAAAACAGTATATGATAAGTGGAAAAGTTGGAATACAGTATGATAATGAAAGTTTAGAAGTGTTATGGAAATTTGACGAGAGTAATAACAAAATACTTGGTCAAATATTTTGACACTAACTTCAAATGCTATGTCATCCATATTTACTTGATACTTGATAAACAGGCTCCAAATCAAATCTATCACATAAAATACTATAAGCATTGTGAGGATTATAAAGTAAGCATGAAGAGAACGAATAATCACAAGTCATCGTTATTGTTTTTCAAATGTTCACTGACTTTATATTTGTGAAATAAACAAGAAAAGTCACTTAGTTACTGAAATGGGGAATATATAATATATTCTGTTACAAATTTACTAGTTAAAAATGTATGTACTCTGCTCAGTGTCAAAGTAAAGGTGTTAAGGTCAATGATCGAGTCAAATCCCTGCATCTTTTAATGTGTATCAAAAACAAATTGACAAATAAATGGTAAAAAGAATATACACTTACCTGCAATATTTATACCGTAACGACGTGCTTCACTAGCGAATGGAGAAACGAAATCAGGAGCAAATGCCGCACTTCGAGCTTGCTCTACAAGTCGTGTAGCACACTGTTTTAGGCTGTCAATCGTACAGTTGGTGAGTAGCTAAAAAAATGATAATGTGAAGAAAACAAACAGTTGGAAAACTAGTTTATCATATACCCTTTTAAACATTGGCTTTTTATCAGAGGGGATAGTTTGATAAAACTGATTCCCAACTTAAACACTGACTTCGATAAACATAATGAATTCGATCCTCACTAACGGTGAGAGCTACACTCAAGAAATATAGTAATAGTGTATGGAAGAAAATGCACTGAGATTATAGAAACAACTGATGGAGGAAAACTGATACAGTAAGTTAGTGAAGAATTTTGTTAAAAATAACACGACAAAAATTTTACATTCCAGACTGAAAATAAAATCCTAAGGCCAGCACAATGGATACTATATGAGGGCAGTTATTGCTGAAAAATAGCTGAAGTATTAACCAGTCAGGAAAACAATGTAGTACGTTGCATCGATTCATGTTAAGTAACTTGGAGCATTACAATCAAATGCAACTCGAAGTAGTTGGAATGATGACGAGTTCCAAGTGTTCAATACTTAAACAATGTTTTGCATTAACTGTTTACTTGTTTTTGACAGAGTGAGATTAGTGCATATGAAAGTTTCAGGAGGATTTCTGATAAAATAACCATACGTAGACATTAAGTGCGAACAGAATCAAAATAGGCTTTGTGAGAAAATAGACCTCGTTGTACGAATCAAGTATTTCACGGTTTAGGAAAGATGAAGTCTAGTACCCTAAATGCCAGGGTAGAACCGAGAGTGGAGAGTTCACTCTCTATCGTGAATAGCGCTCATATGACCATGCGTACAGAGACACTACCAGAGAAGTCCTAGTCACCGTATGAACCTATTTTCGGTCATCGGCTACCAGGCGACTACATCACCATACGTTGTTTTACTGGCTGGTGGATTAGACTTTTAGGTCAAAGACTCAGATGCAAACCCCTAAGGAAACCACCTGCCTGGGTATGGGTAGTATCCCAGCCTATCCCTAAATTCTTTGTTGTGCATATTTATTTAGGCGCCCCTTAGTACCGATGTTTGTGTTTAAATAACAAAACAAAATTCAGGAACATTCTAGACTACTCTGAAGTCGATGGGTATTTTAGCCCAGGCTGAGCCTTAGAAACCAACACACCAGTAGAAGACGATATATGAGTAGATAAAATTGCATTACTTATAACTGTTCACGAAATCAATACTGAATTTCAAAGCTCTGATCATTAGGTTATTGGTTCAGGCTTTAACTCTGTCCAATTTATGTACCCAATAAGATTTTATTATTATTTTAGAAGAAAATTTGTACTTTAGCATTAATGATATTTACATCACCTACGATTTCCTTTAGTGATTAGATAAGCGGACAAATTCGGCAAACCGAAAGTAAGAGTTTAATGAGATAACTTCAAATTTTCGCCAAAGTTCCTATTCTATTCTGAACCGCTGCTTTTGATGACCGGAAGTAACTAACTATATGTGGCGCAGAAAACTTCTTGGTCGTAGGTTGAATAACTGAACTAGTGATTGTGTCACAAGTATTATAGCCAATTATGAAAAACAAGATATGGTAGTGAGCACATAAATAAAAACTTCTTGAATAATTTCTTCGAACCCCAATTTTCTTCATTATCGCTATGGGTGGTATGGCAACCTGAACTTATGTACGTACGTACGAAGTTCCACATTGTAACGGACTGACTGACATCAATAAAAAAAGACTAATATGCCGATGTTACCTAGATATTAGTCACCGCTTGTTACATTAGAAATATTCGATTCCCTTCCAATTAATTATATGAACCTGAAATTTTATGACAGTTTTGCAACATAAAGACGAAATTTCTTATTATTATTTACATGAACAAGTTGACACGTTTATGCATACAATTACACACAGCTTACCTCAACGGTTTTCACCTCTTGTAATATCATTGATTCTGGTAAATTATCGAACAAACCATCAGTGCCCACGATTATTATGTCACCCGGTTTGACTTCTACAGATGTTTGGGTAGCTTGGTTAGGTCTATAATATATTTTAATAAATATAAGTTGCTATAGAAGTGCTCAAAGCATCAGGAACATTGGTAAATCAGTAATGACTGCAAAGTAGGCAAGTGAACATGAGACTAGAAACAGATTTTGGATAAGAAATGTTACAATCGTGGACGTGCCTTACATTAACCAGAATATTTAGGAATGATGATACTAATAATAGTGATAATCGGACATTGAGTAGTAAATATGTAATGAAAACGATCTTCATGTCCAGAAAACAATGGATATTATTTTTTATTTCGTTATGATATTATTCTAATTAAAATTAACAATCGATATCTGAAGAATTATCCACTACTTAACATATTGTTCTCGATAGTCACTTTTGTTCTGAAACCATTTCTAGAGGTCGGAACTACTTAAGATTTACTGGGATAAATTTTATAACTTCGAAGTTACACAAGATTAAATTATTCTTGAACAATCTAATACAGCTTAGTCAACAGATTAATTTATATTCCAAATAAAAAACTTCTACTTAATATTTTTCGACTTCTTCGGTCACTATTTACGGTATTTGAGAATCATAAATAAAATCGCAGAATAAAATAAATTTATACTTTATTTAGTCACGAAAGTGAGAAAACTAGTCAGCACCCCAATATCATCAGATGCCAAGAGATAATTAATTCATAATTATGTTTACTTTGTCTCATAAATTTTTAAAAAATAATGAATCGATCATCGTTAGATCACCATTAGAAACCTGCAAGCACTGAACGTTCGTTTTGTCCTAATATGGCACTCATCAGCAGTGTGCATCCACCACCTCAGCTCACAGGAATTGAACCGAGGACCTTCAGACTCATGCGCGAACACTTAACCTCTAGACCACTAAGCCGGCATCCGACGGTGTTGATGTCTAACCGTAATCAATCCGAGGTATCTCACAACCTCACCCATTGTCTTCGGTAGTTACTACCTATACCCGACAGGGCTGGACTCCTATGGTCACGGCTTTTCACTAGAACTCCGACAATTTTCTCATGAAGCTACTCCTAGTGATCACATTTTATGATTTTTCAGTATAGAGTTATGGAGACTAAGTTTCATTGAAATAATGAAACAATCATTGTTAGACAACCATCAGGAACCTGGAGGTGGAGTTCAGCTCTGCCGGGTGTAGGCAGTAACTACCGAAGACAACGGGTGAGGTTGTGAGATACCTCGGATTGATTACGGTTAGACATCAACACCATCGGATGCCGGCTTAGTGGTTTAGAGGTTAAGTGTTCGCGCGTGAGTCTGAAGGTCCTCGGTTCAATTCCTGTGAGCTGAGGTGGTGGATGCACACTGCTGATGAGTGCCACATTAGGACAAAACAAACGTTCAGAGCTTGCAGGTTTCTGATGATGATCTAACGATGATAGATTCATTATTTCAATGAAACGTAACACTCTCCATAACTCAATAGTGAAAAATTATACATTTTTATGTGAGCAAGTTTCTTGTTGAATTGAATAAGAAAAATTTAATTATGATTGTGCGTTCAATGGTTTGATCTCTTAGACTGAAGGTTGATTGACACACTATCAACGAATGTAAGGAGTTACTAGATTGAGTCTTGTGAGAATTTATCGCAAAAACGGTAGATCAATATTCTACTCACAACATGTTGATAAAAGATCACAACCAGTAACCTAAAACATACTCCTTAGTTTCTTTTCGCTACTTCTATAAACAATCAAAAATATGATGATGCAATAAAACATACTGTTGTTATTCAGCGGGCAAATTAGTCAGACTGCTAATTTCCAAAATACGTGCGTCGTGCTTCTTCCACATATTGCTAACCCATGATTTTCTTACCACTCGGATAATCACTGTAAATTGTTATGGTACATAACTGAAGTCAGAGAATATTATTGAATCCGATTGTGTGTTCTCAGTGATAACCATGCATGTATTCGTCGAATCACGCGTGGAATAACCAGGTTCTTCTACATCCATTTACTAACACCTGATTCACTAAATCTTAATCTTCATTTTAACACGGTTTAAGCATATTGCACAAGGAACTTTATGTGACATGAATTACATGAACCTTCGAAGAATTTGGAAATAACTTCTGTGACAAATATCACGGTTTACAAATTGAGTTGTTTACAAACGCCTGATAATTAGAGTGTTTCAACATCGTGAAATGAGTTTATACTAGTTCACGTCACCTATGTAACAATTATTAGAGGTGAGTCTCCTTCCGGTTACGTCCGAATTATTGGCTTCCGTCGTACTCAAAACCCAGGAAAGATTGACGTGCAAGGATCAGGCTGGTTTTCGTCCTGGTCAATAACGCATTGATTACATTATTCTGCGATAAATGTTAGAACACCGACATACTTTTTTCACGACAATAAACGTTGATTCGTGACATCGTGGCCGTCTCCACTTTGTCGAACATGACTGTTCTTCAGGAGATTTTGATGTAGAAAGATATGTCTGAGAAGTTTATTGATATCTTGAAGGGAGAGTGAGGGTTTAAAACTAATTTTTTCAATCGTTCCACTCAAGTAATGGTGCTTGGCACAGTTTTCAGAAATTTTTACAGTTTAGCTTTAAATTCTGTGACGTTTTGGAAACGGTTTCGAAAGAAGTAGGTAATGGTAATGTGGATAAGCTACCTGAAGCAAGTTATGTTAATTTGGCCGTGAGAGATCCGATTTACAATGAGTTGGCAAGAGCAATTTGTTCTGTGGTCGTAAAACCTAGTCTTTCCGAGTTGAGGATGTTAAGTGATCCTCATTGTTTCCGAAGGATTGCTGACATAAAATAACACCATGTTGGTAATGTGCACGTTCAGCAAGGTGTGTTCAGGCACGCTTTCTCTACCTGTTCACAATCGCATTTTTAGTGTGTGGCGCATATAAATTTTGGTGCCCTTTCGTACCAATGTTCGTGTGTTGAAATAAATGAATAAATATAGAACTCACTATAATTTTGTTTATTCGCCTTTGAAGCATGTTGATTACTGTAGGTTGATATGCTACCCGGCTGCTACCTAAACCACGTGTTATAACCAGTAACCCAATACTCCACACTAATAATGAATAATTAACTAGTATTCATTCATTATTATCAATAACTGATATACCAAACGACTTTTAATAAGACTTATTTCAGTTGATAATACCGATCAAAATGAAAGGAATAACATCCACTCATCTTTCAAATGTAAAACTATGGTATCGTGGTTTGAGTGTTTGCTCGAAATAATTTCTTCAGTTTCAAATCTACACGGTACATCAACCACTTCACTCTAAATCGCTAAGTATTAGTGTATAAGTTTAGTTAGTGGATTTCTATCCAAAAACTATATTTTTTTAAACTGTAATTAGATTAAAAATTATGTAGTACACATTAAATGCTAAATAGTTGAATTAAAACACAAATATTTGAAAAACGCTATTTTAGACTTACAAATCACTATGAAAACGCCTTGAATGAAGCGTAGGTGGACAAGATAGTTGGAATGGTGTATTGAATGAATGCTTTTGGTGAACTGAACGCTGGAATCACATGTCCTTCACGTATAACCAAATAGCCACTGTCACCTAAACTAACGCCATAACTCGATGTTCATTACGTTGTAATGAAATTATGCATAGGGTCGCGCTACCTATAGTAACAATAATAATAACAACAATATACACTAAATATACACGAAAACATGAAAAAGCAATGGTTAACAGGTGTTGAAGAATCTTCCATAAATAACTTTCATCCAATCTTAGAACTTATTTTCTCTAAATTCGTACACCAGAGCTTACGAACGTGTTGGTCATGGTAACGATACCACTTATTGGCCCATTTCATGATTCAGTTTGCTGTAAGTCGAATGTCAATATTACTGACTCAGCTTGTTCTTCATCACCTCTCTCTTCTAAAGTATCTCACTGAATTATACTTCTTGAATCATATATTCGAACCCTAATCTCCATTACAGCTAATTCTCCGAATTACCTCTACCACTAAGGTCTTCGAAACGACAATTGAGTCTCTGTGCAACGTGGTATGGCATCTCGAGCTGGTGTATAGATGTACGAAGTTTTAAGTTGTAGCTGACTGGACTGACTCAACTCTAAATGTACCTTAGGCCCAATCAGGAACAGTG